TATATATATATATAAATATATAAAATATATATACATATATAGTAAATACTGAACCCGTATGAATTCTTTTATTCTTATATTTAAATAAAAATAAAATATTGTATTATAAATATATGTTTATTTTGGTACAATTTAATATTCTGAAAAAATGTGTACATGTACATCTTTTTTGACAAATAAAATTTCTGATGTCAAATGAAGAAAGCCACTAATTAGATTATTTAAGGTACAAAATGAAGTATTAAGATACGTGAATGTATCTTCTCAGCATTAACCCAATGGTGTATGATGAAGGGCATTTCCTTTATATATTGCATGTTATATAATCTATTCAAAGAGAAAATTATACTTTAACCAGTTAATAGGATGTACTATACTTGTGAACTGCAAAGAAACTGTGATTGAAAGTAACATGTGTCAATGCGCAATTTGTTTTTTTTTGGTATATTCTAATTTGTGGCTAAATGGTACTCTTCAAATTAATGAAAAATTTCCATGTTTAACAAATTGTGAAAGAGAAGTGTTAGCCTCAATTTGCAATTGCATGTTAATTACACGTATATGTTGCTGCGCGCGTGCTGTGCGATCAATACAAAACAAGAAATATACTATATCTAACATTAAGATATTTTGTTGTTTACCACAATGTAAAGTTTACATAGTGTTACAATCATGAAAAATGTCTTACAAGATGTATAAGTGTATAGAAATAGACAAAACGTAATATAGTTGTTCATGTTATATAAAATTATAGTAAAGCGTAATTCATAACAAAATTATTTCAACAAGAGAATTTATATCTTTCAGTTAAAGAGCAATAGAATTGCTTCAACTTGATTATAAAATGTCGTTTAAGCCGGTGTTGGCAATAAAAATACTCGTTATTAAAATCTACATTTTAATAGTATCACACAAAAATTGAAGTGTTTTCTTTTGTTTTCCGTTGTTTGTACTATATATATATATATATATACACGAAATTATATTGCTTAACATGCCGTAAAACTAGATGTTTTTTTTTTCAAATATTTTATGTTCATACCTAGTGATTTAATATTTTTACTTACAGCGAAACCACAGCACACTGATCTGCCATCAATTAGGAGGCATTTTTCATAATATTGTTCATCATACATTGATTAATAAATACTTGTAGATTCATTACGACCGTAATCATTCTTATTGTGCTTAAATATATACTCAAAGAGGAATGATGTCGCAAGTATTTAGTGTACAGCGATACCTTAAGTTAGTGATATTTCGGTATGTATGTATGTAATCCATGTGAAATTATACATACTTTAGAGAGAACGCAAATTGGCGTCTCTCTTTGCTTCGCTTTTTCTTATAAACTGAAAAAACAAACCGGATAGCAATATGCATTGAATATTAACATACCCTGTTAAATTTAACATCAAATTACTGCCAATATCTGCCAAAAATATATGTCACATGCAATATGAAAGCAAAAAAAGAAAGAACAACTAGTCGACAAATGTATACGATCCCGTTTACAGAAATTACCAGTGGAACTTTTATCAATTTTGGCACACGTACAACAAGGTGCCTGTTAAATGATGTGCCATGATGCAATGTCTAATCTATTTTTTCATGTGATATATTTGTACGAAGTTTGGTAATATTTTGCGAATTATTTACAATCTGTATCATTATAAGAAATAGCATTCAACGTAGCCATCATTCCTCTTAATTTTTTGCCAGATTTAAACGAACAAAAAAGAATGAGCTATTTCTGCATAATCTTCCTCAGAGTGCAGAATGGACAAATTGTGTAACGGTTAATTACAAACTTGTGTTCTGATAATTTAATATTACCATAAAATAGTATATATTATATTTGAGTACATGCAGTCTTGGCATCTATTTTTAATGCCTCCTCATCTTTTTCTCTCGACAAAATACAGTCTCTAATACTTATAATATATACGATGTTGTAGAGTAATCTTGTATTAAATTTATAATGATTTTCTGTATTCTACGAAGAAAAACAAGAAAAGGCAGTGTACTCTTATTCGTAATCGACGGTGCCCCGTGAAATATATATACGTATGCGTGTATATATATAGTGTCATTATGTAATATCAGATGTACACAAAAATTCTGTACATTATGTACCAATGATGTAACAAAATTAGCGCATCTTAACATTTAGCTCGATATAAATGGAGTATCAAATGGAAGCTAGCTCTATCCTGTCAATAATTTAGCTTGTAATGTCAGTGAACTCTGATATTGATTCAGATTCTTGCGCTTCATTGTATTATATGCTATTGACAGTCTATTGCTACAAAAACATTTGTGCATGTTTAGTGCTAAGTTCATTCATATTTGGGACCAAAGTAAAAAGATTGACATTATTTTTACTGATTGTGAGTAACAAGTTATTCTTGAAAAGAAATAAACGATTTAAAACAATTATGTGATACATTAAAACCTATAAAAAAAGACTTCTTGAACTTTATTCATAGGGTTCTACTTTCCAGTATTAAAAGAGCTTTCAATAATATTGGAAAAAAAATTAAATGAGAATGAATTACGATGATATAAAACTACTTATTTATTTGCTTCCATTTAAAGGAGAAACATTTTTAAATGTAATTTAAAAATTGATGCCAATTGGATGCTATTAAATAACATTATGTGCGTTTAAGTACATCGAAAATGTACAGTACTCTTTAGATTTATACGTAACAGATGAAACAGAAAAAGTTTTAGAAATTTCACTGCGTCTTGTCGATTTCACGAATTCAAGTACCACAATTCAAATTGAATTATGTAAGTTTCTGTAGTCTTGTGTATACAAATGCATGAAAATTTATAACATTCCTTTAGACATATATACCGAACGTTAGTAGAACGTATATGTCTAAAAAAATGGAGATACGTATTTATTGCAAATAATTTATATGTAAGAACAAAGAGTATTGATATATTTACTATTTTACAATAATGTTGAAATAATTTAAATCTACCATCGGCACATACACACACATACACACACACACACACACACACAAATACACACACACACACATGCACGCGTACACAGTGGGGAATGCACAAGATCTCAGAAATAAACATGAACGTCCGTAGGATAAACCATAAATGCAGAAACATAGAAATAATAGCTATGAGATATTAAAGTGTGCCTAACATAGTAACGTTTATGTTATAAGTTAATAGAGATTAGAAAGCATTTCTCAATTATATTAATCTATCGATCATGCGCAATATAGCTTCGAAACTAGCACTTGTCCAAAACGTTTGCTCCTTTTGATTATATAAAATCGTCTGTGTTTGTCAGAGATTTTAATTGAAAATTTTAGACTTTGTATGTATTAATTGTACCAGGCAACGCAAAAGACTGACGAAGATTATTGTAATCAGTATTAACTAACATTGGTATATTTTACATACAATATATACGTATTATATATATTATATGTACACACACACACATATACACATACACACACACACGTATACAACACATATATACAAATGACTTTGTACTAAATTCTATTTTGGCTGCTTGTGTTATTTTTATTATAAAGGTAAATTATTAGTATCGTTAAAGTGATACAAATGTAATTTCGTTAATACAGTATCTAATTTACGGCATTTTAGGAGCCAACATGTCCTTAGCACATATTCATCTAGCTTTTATGTATACTAATAAATTTAATGACACCAAGTAGCGTTTTCAATCAAAATCCTCTTCCTATCTTTACAAATTTAATTTAAATTCAAATTTCGCAGAATGCAATTAAAAAGAGTATCTTTAAGAAAAGATAAGGAAAGGTAACAATAATAACTACTGAAGAGATCAGCATATAATAAATTGTATTTCATCCGTTATATCATTAAAAGATTGTTTACCAATATATAAGACTGACCTTCGTACATTTGCTTTTTTCTTTGTTTGACATTCATACTTTTTATACACGTAAATAAAAGAGTGTTCATGGATCAACTGACTTCCCGGCGTATTGTAATTTTAGATCATCAAAACCGCAGATAAATGCCACGAGGCTTTTCCTTTGCTTCCTCCTATCCTTTTTTTTTTTTACAAAAGAGTTTTATAATGTGCTTATAAATTACTTTATAATGCGCTTCTATTTTCAGATCGATTTTAAAAGAGCATGCTTCCGTTTTCAGTTAATGTATAACGACATTTTTAGAAATAACGAGAAATCCATATTTCTTTAATATTCTGATAATTTTCAAGTGCACGCGGGCACATACATGTATTATCTTATGCATAATGATCTATTTACAATCCCGAGGCAGGATCAAGACTTATCTTCCACTTTAATTCATAAAGTTGTAAAACTGCATATTGGCTTACAAAATATAAAAAGCCAAAGTTTGTCGACTAAATCAAAAATTACTCAATTTTTGTCTTAATAGGAACTTACGCGATTCGCATATTTTGCACATGCATTTCACGCAATATTTACATTCCTCGAATTTCGCGACGAAAAGGATGCAAAGAGTGTTTACATTTTACACAATAAACTGTACAATATCAATATTCGTCGAGCAAGCTTCTCTCCTTTGCTTCATTTTTTTTTTCATTAAACTATAATTACACTCACACTACCCGATATTTTTAAGCAACTATCTATATTTTAGAACAGATATGTACAAAGTGATTTTAATCACCTTGTTGATCTAATTTTCATATGATATAAAAAACTACAAGAAATTATTCAGGAGACGTACATATACCTGACACATTGAAGATAGTGAAGTATCTCTAGCATGCTCGGGCTTAAGAGTATGCAACAAAATTGATATGTAAGTACCCTTTCAGATACAAGATAAAATAATATAAAAAGTCTAAAAACGCAATGAATTGCACCAACATTGGTTAGCGCTAATCATTAAAATTTTCTTTCTCTACTTATGTTAAAAATTAAGCTATAATATATAGAAAAGAATAAGAAATCGCTAATCAGAATTAGCAAATCAGGATTATCAGTGCAATCATTAAAACATTAATTTATACATACACATATATGGTATAGACAGAATATAAATCCAGGTCAGAATTACAAGATTTCTTGAATGTACCAGCGTATAAGTATACAGTAAATAATATTTATTTACAATTACAATATTATTTTTGCGGATGGGCCCAGACAATTGAATTATGTCTGATACGCAAGTATAATCTTAATGTCTGCTTCATGCAGAACATTACAATTACTGTATTATGAACACAAAATTGTATGCGATAGTTTTGTAGCATAGCTAAATTATAGTTACATGCTATTAGCCTATATTTTGAGTCAGGCGTCACATGTGTGAACATAATAATTTAAATTTAAGACAATTCAATATAAAAATATGGGAATTCAATTATATGGAAAAATGGGCCTCTACGTTTACGTCTTATTGCCTATATATCTATTAATTACTTACAGTTTAGATTATCAATATTGTTCATGTTATCTCCTATTCTAGAAACATTAGCAGCATTGTGCGTGGTATTGTTTTTGTAAACAATACAATCCATTTAAATACTATCTCATTGTAACTTTTAAGTGAAAAACTCCTGTCTCGTTATGCCCTAGCACACTATTTAAACACTTGCACGCACATTCATCCGTCCTTAGGCACATTACATACTCTACATAAAAGCACATCACAATCATGTTTGAGCTGATCTCAAACGGTCTTTGCTCACTTGTGTTTTCTGACCAACATGATCATAAGGATGTGTACACGCTACATATGAGACAAGTTGTATGAGAGCAGCAATGATCATAAGTTGGCATGAGACTAATAGGAGTTTAATATGAATAAAGAATATGCTCATGTAGCATAGCGCTTGGTCCAAAGCCGTGCTATGCGATCGTGTTCTTCTCTATTTTGTAGGTATTGCGTAGCTATACTACCTACCAGTGGATCAGCTGCAAGATAAAGTTATTCAAGATCCACATAATTTTATCAAAAGAAAATATGTTATCTACAGAATGTTATTTTAAAAACAAGATATTGTAAATTCATTCATTATTTACAATGTACATATCGTACATCAATTTTAAATAAATTATCATAAATAATGCGCCTACCTGGATTGCAGTCTGTTAAAAGGGAACATATTGACAATAAGACTTTTGAAATTGTCAATGCAGGAGACCAATTATCCTTTAATATGTCCAAGCAAATAACTCCTTGACTATTTATATTGCAATGGTAGATGCGCGTTCGGAATGTAACCTGTAGAGCAACACATTTTTGAAACATAAGAATTGTATAATTATTGAAATATATATCGCACTATTTTACTCAAGTAAATGAAATAATTGTAAATTTTCTAGGAATTTTTTTAGATGCAAGGAATTACTAATGCAATATTTACTAACCTCTTTACAGATAATTATTATGTAATAAATATTAATGTAAATATTTATTTAAAATATACAGATATTTCAAAAGTTTTATATAGAAAAATAACAATAATTTAAATAATACTTTTATTTAAATTTCTTTTTATTTTCGTCACTCTGACGTTGTTGTTATAATCCTGTATGAATAAGTTATTATCATTCGCAATATAAAACTAACGAAACTATCAACTTACCTTAGGAGGTTTAAAAGGATATTCTGGTGAGAAATGTATATCAAGAAAGAATACACCACCCTCATAAACCGAACCTGGAGGACCTAATATGGTAGAAACCCATTCATACAAGTTATCACCTTTTGGTCCTGCACTGTAAAATAAGTCAATCAACAATTAATTTTATTATCTATATATTATTCTCATAAGTATATAAACTGTTCCATAATTGATATTATTATGTAATTACAATTCTCCAAAATATTATTTCAAAAAGAATTATAACCAACGACAATAGTATTATACCTGCAATTCGGAGGTGGATCTAGCGTAATTTCTGCCAATTCTTTCTGTATCCTAATATTTAAAATATCAAAAACATTTAGTAACCACAAATTGCTGTAATATTAAATACATGTTATCATCACACGTCACAAAATGCGGATCTATTGCCTTACCTCTTAGCGGACGTTCCTAAAGCTTTCGACATCTTTGGATTTGGCTTAGCTTCTTTACTGTCTGGTTTATTGTCTGCCAAGGAGGAACCACGACCTCGCCCAGTTCCACTAGAACCTGCTCCTGATGACATGACTCTGTGACAAAACATACATGTATTATCAATTATACAGAAACTTTTGAAAATTATCAATTTAATGGAAGTAACAAAAGGACAAGCATTATAAAAATAAAACTAATTTTGAAACATGGTAACGGAAGTATAATAATGAAGTATAATGGAAAGCACATTGCGTTTCTGTCTTCGTTTCGCTATAGTGATATAATGAATCATATCTTGCGAAAGAAAGGAGAAACGCTCGATAGATCGAATTTTATTTGCGAAAACTAATATCACATGTGCAAAACAATAAAGCGAGGCAAACGGATCTTGTTAAAGTAAATCGAAAGCACAATTTGGATAGCAGTTCAGGGTGTTGAAAATGCGATGATGTAAACTGATAATGCACCGTGCTTCCGAAAACGGTCGTTTCTTTCTGCGCTTTCGACAGGGAGGCGACGAGTCGTACAACAAAGAATCTCGGTCGACACAAAACACAGGATTTTCTATTCTTCGCCCTCAACTGTCCCCTCCCTTCCTGCGCGAAGGAAAAACATAAACATCGCGCATATTTGATCGTCATCGGATAAGTGTCCTGTCTCACTCGGGACGGATATCTAGCGCGTCGTATTTTTAAACGGCGTCTCGCGTAGCGTTGTCTAGCCCGAAGCCCGAGGAGAAACTACGTGAGGACAATGTGCGGATCGAGAGACGTGCGTGACGGTCCGCCGGGTAGACTGAAAAAGAAAGGAATAAGATTCGTTTAACGTCATCGCGTTTGTTGCCTCCGATCGAGCGACTCGAGGGGGGTTCAACGCGCCCAAAATTGATTTCCCTTCATGGACGAGCACGCGTTTATCTCTCTCTCCCTCTCGCGCCTCTGTCTTTCTCTCGGGCTTCTTCCTCTCTCGTAGCTCTTGCGCAGGCAGGATGCGAGACTCTGGCTCCGACGGCGAACGCCGGGAGGTACCTCGGGACGACGTACGTTCCCCGATGTGTCGTCTACATGGATCTCCCTCTCCGTTCTCTATAGATATCCATGGTCCCTTTTAGGACACACGCACACGCACAGTGCCACTTCTGGCTGTTTCCTAACCCTCTCCTTTACCCCTCCGCGATTCGTTCGCGAGCCGAAACGGCTGTGAAAAGCGGTGCTGCGTCGATGTACCTCGTGTCCGATTTGTCCACGCCGTGTTTGCTGTCGTCTCGCCGCAAGCCTAGCTTCGCCGGGTCGCCGACGGTAGGGGGTGAGGCAGGGAGACGGGGGGAAGGACCGGTCCGCCGCTTCAGATGCGAGACCCGCGAGACGGTTCCCTCGGCGCGGCGACGGTGTCGCCGGGATAATGGAGCCGCGCGGATCGGGGGTGGGATGCACGCGGCGGCGGCAGCAGCGGCGGCGGAGGTGGCTCCGGCTTCGTTATTGTCCTCGAGTCAGGCGGGAGTACGCGGAGCTCGCGAATAATCCGCCCTATTACGAGATCGTACCGTTCTCGATACAACAGCAGGAACAACAGCAGTAGCACTCACTCACGCGAAACGCGCAGCGCTCGGCGAATCGGTTCTGTCGCGACCGTCCAATGGATCGACGGCGACGGCGATGATGATGACGGTCGTTGATACGCGACAACACTAAGAAACGATCGTGGACAAGCGCACGGACGAGACGGCGGATTTCGAATCGCCCTCGCGGATTGTCCTGTCCCGGAAGCCCAGCGCTCCTCAGGCCCTCGTTCTCGTATCGCGATCATTCATCTCGCTTTCATGTTCCGAAATCGCGATCGCGGCGTCCTTCTCCCCTCGGCGAGCGCCGAAACGTGCGCATCTCTGCGTCGCCGGATGTTGACTCTGTCGCCGCGGCGGCGGACGCTGGCAAACCTGACGACGCGTTTTCACGGGCGCTGTGATCGGTCCCGCGGAACCCGGCTCGCCCGGCGCTACCCGCTACCGGCACCCACAGGCGGTGTCTTTCCCCGCGGCTGAGGGGACCGTCGCGATCGCCGACCGACTGGAAAATTCCCTAGCGCACCGTGAGAGCGCGTAGTCGTCGACTACTTCTCTCTCTTTTTCTCTTTCGCTCAAGTCGCTTTATCACGCGCATCGTTTATTATCTATTTTTGATACCATGTAATTATGTGTTTTCAACGCTTAAGGAGAGAATATTACGGATCGCTTAATAAAATAATGACTCTTTGTTTCTCTTTTTCTCTTCTTCTTTTTTCTCATCGTTATTTTGTATAAACTTTAAATATGTTCAGATATTCTAATTTTTTGTATTAGAACTTTTTCGATCGCTTTCGCCAAATATTAAACACGCATCTTTTATTTGAAGTTCTAAAAATATATGCAACAATAAAAAACAGATCTTTTGTATTGTTTTTATATCACGCGGTGCGTACATTATTCAGGTCCGCATGCACTGAGAATGAGAGACAAGGCATTTCTTTGAAAAGAAATTTATGAATCTTTGTTGTTGTTACCCATATAAGTAATAATTCAATTAGTAAAGGTAACTTTGATCAACTTAATCAGCGATTAATCCAATCGTAGAGTTGCTCGAATCGTTGAAAAATTTATTCTAACTAGTCGTCCTTAATTTAATCTTGCTTTCCATGTTTTAAATGACAAAAAATTATTCCGCTTTAACACAAAATATAATAATATAATGTGAGTATTTTTTGATAAATTAATCGCCAATTAAGTTAAATCCCATTGTTCGAAATCGCTGTATCTAATTGATGTCATTCAATACGTTAATTACGTGTAAATTCTCTTTAGAAACTTGTTTTTAAATTCTGTTACACATATTATTATTAGAGTAATTCATTCTAGGCAAACATCTTCGAAAATATTTATCTGTTAAGATTAAAATGAATCGTCCCGTATAACGGAAAAATTCAAGAAATATCTTTAATAAACAATAATAAGATTGAAAGACCGCTAATGTTAAACATAATGCTTTAAATTAAGAAGCGCCATAACGGTCAGAACGTTGAGATGTTGAACTATTGTAAATTCATTTAAATGAATTAATTTCAGAAATGATAATTGCGTGCCGATATGGTTGTCGGACTTTCAACGCAATCAAATCTGAAAATATTAATAATCCCCTCCAAATTTCCCAACTTAAAAACTGTAATAAACTTATTGCGAAAAATAATGCCTCGGCCGGGAGTCGAACCCGGATCTCTTGCATTCCGTGTTATCTTTAATAAAGTATTAAATCCAATTTTTTTGAATTTTAAATAAATATATTCGGATTAATAATCTTATCCTTTTCTTTCTATAAAAATATTTGCATAAAAAATATTAAAAGTTCTAAATGAATTAATGTATATGTTTCCCATTCTGCAAATAAATAAATTTTTTTACAGTTCACGGAAACCATGAGTCTTTTATTTCGAATAACATCTTAACTATCTCCAAACGAATATTGATCTTTATTTCCAAGGTAAATAAATATCTCTGCTTGTATCTATAAGTTATCTGTCTGCAATCGAAATCAAAAGAAGATACGCGCATCGATTCCGATGAACAAACTGGCGCAAGTCTAATTCTAATGGCTCATGTTTGTCCGTCGTAACTATGACAACAACTTGCTAAGTTAAGAGAAAAATATTGTGTCGGAGACGTACGTTCCTATAGGAAACACTCGATCGGCACAAGTGTGCAAATTTACGACGACGTTAGAGACGATCCTGGCGAAATGAATGATAAGGATGACAGTGCTTGGGTATTCGACTCCTTGATTGGATTTTTACAAGGTCCTATTTGGTCCTCGCCCCTTCTGAGCTTCATCGAGGAAAAATCCCTCGGTTCGTACAACCAATGGAAATTCTTTTCTTTTGACAAATCTCGTCAGTTCTTCGAGTAAAAGGATCCTACACATATTATATGGAAAATTGGATCCTGAAAATGAATTAGTTAGAGTTTTTACAAATAATGTATAACGTATAATGTGAATAAAAGAGATATAGAAATATGAACCTCAATGCTTTCCATTTGATGATACAAGTCAACACAAATGTCGTTCTATCTTTGTTACTCTTTGAATGGCAAGAAAAATAGAATGATTGTTTACTTGTGTCACTAAATGGAAAATCCTCATTAATGGATAATTATTTAGTTCTGTGAGTTTTACACTTCTGATACACCAGTTCAAAAATATCTTTTGTTCACCACATTATATAAGTTATATATTATATAAAAAACTAACTCATTTTATCGCGCGAGACCAAATTTTCTATAATAATTAGTACGCTGGAGTCTTTCTTGGTGTAATAAGAAGGAATAAAGAGAAATCTTATAGCGTGGCTTGTAACGGAAGCATCACACATACATTCGTGTATTAATGCCTTTCAGAATGTGTTCGTATAATTTCTTCGCAATGGAAGTAGAAGTCTTCGTGGAATTGGAAAACTTTTCGCCGTGTGCTGTACAATATAAGGCGCATTTATTTGTAATAACATAAATAAATATTTTATAAAGTCTTATATATATTGTAGTTTTCGAGGCTAACACCGAAGACTGTGAAGAGTATCGGAAAATATATCAGGAGTACAAAAACTTGGTCGACTTGCTGCTTGGATGCTTTATGGAAGATATGGGTATCACACCGGAACAATTCGAACACGCATGCACCGTTAACAGAGATACAAAGATCCCGATACATTTTCAACAAGTACGACCATTACACATACACACACATCCTCATAATGTTTGTATAAAGAATTACGTTCGTGCTTTGTTTCATAAGATTGAAACCGAGATTTGTTTTCGCGACATTAAAAAAAAAAGAAGATTGACAATGGCTGCGTTCAGCAGAGAAAACTAATCAATTAGCGCTTAGTGATTCTTTCATATAATTGGTTCTTGCCTTTAGTTCTTCATTGGATCTAAGTGTAGGAACCAATTATATTGAAGAATCACTAAACGCTGATTATTTTCTCTGTTGAATGCAGCTATTGTATATAATATTTAAAGATTATAATACAAAAAACAATGAATGGTAGAGACGTTCATGAAAATTACACGATATAATTGATCTATAATTTTATATCCATCGTTCTTTTAAAAAATTATACCATCGTGTGTTTTACAGAATCTATTCGAACAAATATGGGCGGCGAATGAGTACGAAATATTCAAAAGAATGATGATACAAAAGAACTTGGAGCTCCAGCTGCAAGCGCTAAATATGATCGAACAAAAATACGGTCTCACACCTGCCTCCCTCGTGTACGAGACGGATGGCTTCCTTGACGACGAACTGGTCATGGAGGATTTGATACAGTACGTTATATCATAAATATATCAATAAACTAGTCAACATGTCTACTGGAGACGTACAAGAATTAGAGATGTTTGTAAAAATTGGAACGGTTTTTGTGTCGGAGAAATCATGTATCTTTCATATATGTGCACAGCAAACGTGTTCTGGAAGATCAAAGCGAAGAAGAGCCAGGTATATCTTCAGGAACAACATTGATCGCTGAACACGAGCGTTTAGCTGCCGAATATCACAATGAAAGAGCATTATTGGAAGAAGCATTAAGAAGATCGAAAGATGGCTCCAAGAATACTTCGGATGACGAGTCAACCGAAGAAGTTGAGTGTGCTACTATATCGGCTGAGAAAAAGCCGTTAGATAAACTTCAACTCCGGAAGAACGAGCCTCTCAAACCAATACCGACTTTAAAAAAGAAATCTACCGATGAAGATGAGGTATTTACTTTTGAATACGCGTACAAATAATTTTCCAAAAAAATAGACAAATGAACACGATTAAAAGATTTCAATCTGCATGTGTATGAAAACAAAAATGTATTGTATTGCTTCCATTTTGTAGATGAATGCAGAAGATATTAAAAAGAGGCAAGAATACCTGAAAGCCAGGCGAGATAAACTTGTGGCTTTGAAAAAGGAAGCTAGGAGCCATCAGCTAGAAATGAACAAAACTCGTCCGAGCTCCGCTAGAACAGTTGCTGAAGCAACTCTGAAAGGACAGCAAGAATTGGAAACAGCGCAAGCTATAGATCCTTCAATACTTCAAGTACGAAGGGCTTTAGCAGCCCGATTGAAAGCTGAAGTTGTGCATAAATAATTTTATTTTTGCATTATTATATATATATATATATAAAATATATAATATTATATTAGGTCTGTAACTTGAAACCCGCCCTCTAGCGATAAATAGCCGTAGCTTTGACAATCATCAATTGTGGCCGCAGCCCGATTCACGCTCACGCTTAAAAATCATTTCATCCTTGTTGTTTGTCAAATGTTGAACAAAGACAAATAATGCTCATGAGCGTGTCAGCATGAATCGGACCACGGCCTGTAATGGCTGAACAAGGCATCATTTATAGTTTTGACCTCTGTCGATAATATTCAGTATATAAAAGTTTGTATTTGTGACAACAACATAGTTGTTTACTGTGAAAAAAATGTCTGAATTTCGACCAAATAAGCATCATTTGCTTTTCTGTTTCAATTTGAAGAAAACTGCTGCTGATCGAATCATCGAATGCTGGTTGACGCTTATAGGGAATTTGCTCTATCGGAAACTACTTGCAAGGAATGGTTTCGACGATTCAAACTTGATGATTTTGACACGAATGATAAAGAACGTCCAGGCTAGCAAAAGAAATTCGAAGATACAAAACTGCAAGCATTGGTGGATGAAGATCCATGTCAAACACAAAATTAACTTGCAGAAATGTTGAATGTTACTCAAGCAGTTACTTCCAAGCGTTTAAAAGGTATGAAAAGCCAAGCTATGAAAAGGGAAAGGTATACAAGGAAGGAAGATGGGTATCATATGAATTGAAAGAAAGAGACATCGAAAGGCGAAAAACCATCTTCGAAATGTTGCTTGCTAGGCAAAAAAGAAAGGAGTTTTTGCATCGAATTGTGACTGGCGATGTAAAGTGGATCTATTTCGATAACCCGCTCAAACGCCGAAAAACCATTTGCGATCCAGGCCAACCATCGACATTGACGCCGAAACGCAATATTCATAGGAAGAAGGCAATGCTTTGTATTTGGTGGGATCAGAAGGGTGTACTATGAGCTGTTGAAATCTGGTCAAACAGTCACAGGGGATCTCTACCGAGAACAAATAATTCGTTTGAGCCGAGCATTGCGCGAAAAACGACCAGAATATGAGACAAGACAGCATAAAAAAAAAAAATATGATCTTGCTTCATGACAATGATCGACCTCACGTCACTAATTCCTGTATTCATAGTCAGGCCTTATATTTAAGGCTTCCTTAAATTTATCTTTAGATACTTTACGAATTATTTCATTAGCTATTGAGCATCTGAAGATAAATTTAAGGAAGCCTTAGTACAAGGTCTGACTATGAATACGAGCATAAGACTGTCAAGGAAATATTGGAAGCACTTCGCTGGGAAGTGCTGCCTCATGCGGCTTATTTACCAGACTGCGTCCCTTCCGACTACCACTCGTTTCGGTCGATGGCACAAGCATTTGCAGAGGAACACTTCAACTCTTATGAAAGCGTCGAAAAATGGGTCTTTAACTGGATAGCCTCTAAAAATGAGTCGTTCTTTCGCTGTGGGATCCGCTTATTACCAGAAAGATGGGAAAAAGTCATATCTAACGACGACCAATATTTTGATTGATGAATTTTTTTCATTTGTTTTTTAAATAAAGGCTTAATTTTTGCAAAAAAAGGCGGGTTTCAAGTTATAGACCTAAACTAATATATTGGTTTTTCATAATTGTAGAAGTCTTAAGCTTGCAATTCCAATAAAGTGCTTCACATAAAAGACTAAATAATTATGATATCTAGAAAAGTAGTACATGCAAAATTGTATTTAGTCAGATATAGTCTGCGAGAAATGTGTGAAAACCTACAAATTGTTTTTATATTTTTACGTCTTGTCGTTTTAAGAAAACTTTTATTTATAATATTTTCATAGAGAACAAACAAAACTTATTTAATATCTGCAAGTACATCCATGTATTTTATCTTATTAAAGTCTGATTTTTTAAACAAAACTACGTTTAATAAAAAAATATTGCATTTTAAATGTTTTTTCTCACAATCAGTATTATATAATGTTTGTATAAGTATATAATATTTAATAAGAACTTTTTAAAGTGCACGTTTATAAATATACGAAAAAGTATTATGAAATAATATTTAAAGAGCTCCAATTATTTCACAAAATTAAGTCACGTTAATTAACAAACACATAGACCCGTTTCTATCAACGTAGATTAACCTTAATCTCAGTTCAACTTACTCTTTATCTTTTTATAATTCTCAAAACTGATGAAGAGTTAGTTAAACCGAGATTAAAATTAAACTATATTGGTAGAAAGGGGCCATAGTGTTTCTGTATTCAACAGGAATTTAAAGTAAATATTAAGGTAGATTATCTTCGCTAACAAGTATTCATCTAATTTTAAATTTTATTTAATTAAATACTCTTCGCACCTCTACAACACACTGTATTTATATAACACACATTTATCATTCTCACTTTTTTGCAGACTACTTTCTAACAAATGAAATGGATTCATAGCATAATACCAGCAATAAGTACGCTAAACATATATTTATCTAACTTTTCTTATTATTTAATGAAATACTAACGTATATTTTTCTCTATAGAATAATAGAAATCAATATCTATCTGCAGCAAGCAAACATAAGTTCTTTTAATCATGTAATATATACATATATGTATATAAATGTGTCATCAATATTTATATATTAATACCTATTTTTATAACTATAATTAATATTTTTTAAGTTAAATTTAATTAATTCTTCCTATCGCTGCAGATATCGCTCTATTTAATACTACAATAGTATTCAACTAATAATTTTAAATATTAGAAGTGAACTGTTCGCTATAATCAAGTTAGAATCTGATTATACAATATTAGGCAAAAAATTCGTGAAAGTTAAACAACTTTCTGTACAATAGTTGCGTGTTTTGTGCTATGAATCCTGCATTTAGATATCACTTTTGTTGCCTGATTATATTTCTTTCATTCTCCAGTAGAATAAAATGCAAAATATCCTTTTTCAATTACAATTCATTCGCTTATTACCATAATACACACAGGATTGTATATCTTATATTTGCTCTTAATTCACAAAATTCTCGAATAGCTTTTCATATAAAAAAATTTTTTTTTCTGCATATATATATATATATATATATATGTTGTGTATATATATGTATATATACTCTCAAAAAGAAAAAGCTTATCTTGTTTTATCATATAATTAAAACGCATGCTAGTATTAGCATGTGATATTGTACAATGTGTGCACGTCTCGACATATTTTCTTCCTTTAATGTTATATCAATGTGACGGTTGAAAAATGTATGTTTGCGATCTCGGCGACGGTTCTGAGGCAGAATGTTTTAAACTGTCATATTATATGTCCAAAGTTATATTATGTAATAATATTATAATAAATATGAAATATTGTATTAATAGAAGACATATGATAAAACACTAACATTTTCAGAGCAGCCAATAAATATGAGATTATAATGATCTTGTGCTAGCAAATTTAATTGGATTTATTTTACTTCTTATTAAAAGTATATTTTTATTCTACAAATATGAATTCGTAACAAGAAAATATATTTGCTCGTTATATTTTTACAAAATTTTTTAATTTAATATAATGTATATCAATTAATAAAAAAAATAGAAACAAAAATATATCGAAGCTTGTAAATAATAATCAAGAATATTATTAATGACAAAATGTATGATAAGAGCGCAACACACTCTGTACAAATGTATATCAAATTTCTCAATTTAAATAGCACGTGACCGCATTTTTATTCTCTAGTATCACTTAGATGTTAATTCATTTGTTCTTTTTTTTACTTACATTCTTTACGCCCAATAACATTCTAGGCTTAATATCTGTTTTTTTATTATCGAATAAATTGTGGATATATGTAAAACACATAAAGAACAACATTACTCAGCATTATCTTACTTAACTAATTAATATTAGCCTTTGTTACATTTCTTCTTTTTGTGATCAGTCCAAGTTGCACAACATTTTATGTACATGTATCACTCAGCTCCAGCGAATTTGCCTACTCAGATATTCACAATTTGTTTATTTTGCGATTGAATTAACTTCTGAATCCCTTTCGCTATAGTAAGAGTTAATATATATGTATATGTGTACATGTGTATCTTCACTGCAATATTTCAAGCATTATGTACTTACAGTCCTAAAGCAGTCTTGGAAATTCTTTCGGGTATTAGGCATATTATTGAAAAATCTGTACATTAATTTGCAATACTTTTCTGTAAAATCAATTCAATAAAAAAAAAATGATAAAAATTAAAGTTATTAATGTAATACTATAGAAATTATATATATGATAAATGCGAAACTTAAATTTTCATTGTCAACTTTATCGCTTGCATAAATGGACCAAAAGAAGCAGACACTTTTTTCTGGAGCTGATTCAAATAGATAAATTTAGTCTTCTGACATGATGACTGTAAAGCAAAACTTAAATTTCAATTTAAAGCAATTATATATATATCTAATTGAAAATATTATTCACTTCTATAAGATGAAATTATTTAATATAACACTTCATCTCTTGTTAAATTTAATAGCGTAAACACAAATTAAGAATTTATATTGCAGTCTCTGTGACACTATTTTTTTATCCAATATATAAATTATGTTATATTATAAACATGTTCATAATTTAACAAAGCTAAATCGTGTATAAGTCTATTTTTACAAAGCGCTTTTCTGTCATTCTTGGCTCCACTCTGCCCTCATGTAAATACGAACAATATATTTTATACATAAGCCTAATATTCCGCGATACATTCATATTATACTTTACACATCAAGGATTAACATTGGGCATGAAGTGCAGACTGATAAATATACATAAATCAAATATTTATTGTACAATTACTACTACTTACATTGACAACCGAAAAATTTGTTGAAAGTATTTCAAAGGCAACTGAATCCTTAAAGAAATTGCATATTCTGTTTAATCCATGAGTGTGGTTGTTTTACAATCGTTACAAATATACATATATATACAAACTAAATACTACGTCCGTTGAACTGGATAAAGTTTCATAGTGCCTGACCCGTTGAAGAACCACTCTCACACATTCTCTCTCTCTCTCTCTCTCTCTCTCTCTCTCTCTCGCTCAGCGGGCGATAAGAAACTTACGAATGGCAAAACAAAACATTCGGTTACTTTTGTGCGGTACATCATGTACTCTTTGTCTTCTCCGAATTCGGTCTTACAACATATTGTAAGTTTCTTCTTGGCAGACTTACGAGATAACTATGATACACTGTGATTACGATTTCGTCACAGCTTAACTGTGACGCATTTCAGTTTAACTGTGACATATTCCAGTTTATCAATGTACTTACTAAGCACATGTTTCATTCTCTGTATCTGTAAGTCACTAAACTTGGCTAATTTTGGCCAATCTTCTTAGACTATTCATAATATCCGTGAGTTATCTTTCTTAATGCACAAAATGTTTCCAGACAAGTGGAATGGACTCTCTCTATGTGATTTGTTTAGTATCTCTTACTTTTTTAATGCATTATACAATAAATCATGCTACATCATATTATGCCACAATACTACACTGTTTGTTTCATTAAAGAAAGTTTATGCTTCCTTTGTTTTATCGATACACTCTGTCGACATAGCTTACTTAGTTTTCAATCACACCATATTTAAGTTTCACATACTATACACGTGTCAGCACAGACAGACCTATGGGTGCCCACCATACATTTTTTTTAAAAGCACTTATTGTTGTATCCGTTCCTTAGCAATAAGCTCAATCTATATCTCTTCCGACAACGAGAGAATAAATCTGTTTTTACATATAGAAGGGGCATGAAATGATAATAGCAATTAAAAATCACAATGTTCTTGTTGTTTTCAAGTTTGCCTACTATGACAATCGTTGTCGTTTTGGGGAAGGACTTAATTCTGAATCTTCGTCTTCCTCATCCGAATCTCCTTCATAATCGACTAACCCCTGGAAATTAAATTTATATAAATTTTATAAATTTCATAAAATCTATAAATTAACATAAAATCATTTATTGGTACAAATTGCAATTTAAAACCCAATTTAATTACTACAAGGATTTCAATACCAATAATTTTAATTGCATATAAAAACGATGCTATGCAACTATTATATCTCTTATTTTACCTTTTTAAACAGTGCCGTTCCCGTTTTTTCTACAGTACCAATAGCTGGAGAAGGATTTATTTCTGAAGCAATTGGCGATTCATTCGTTGTTGATGAGCTGTTATTGATCTGTGGTTGTTGTGAGGTAATATTATTATTAGCAGTATTGTTGTTTAATACAGACTGCTGTTGCTGTTGTTGCTGATGACTTTTAGAATCTATAATAATACGATTAAGGATAAAATTTGAAAATAATGACATTTTAATAGAAATTGGATGTATAAGATCTTATTGTGCTATTATTGCCTCACCTTCATCAAATTCTTCTTCTTCATTAAACCATAGTTCCTCTTCCTCATCTAGCTGCCTCTGGTCCCTTCTATACCGACTGTTTCGTAAGATTGATGGGACACTACACATAAATAATTTCAAAATGAATTTATATAAAATAAAAATGATTATGCTGTCAGTTCAGTAGTAATTTGTCGTATAATGTATTCCACATAATTGCGTCTATTATCTTCTTTTCATTATAAATATAGTAAAAGATATGTCAATATATACCTGTCAATTGTAGCTCTATCACGATCTTTCAACTTATCTTGATGTTGTTCATACCTTAACTTTAATGCTTTAAATGTTTGTACATAATCAATTGCTTCCAATTCCTTTGAAAAATTTTCAACAACATGTGAACATAGTGACTTAATATCCTCCTGAAACATCATAGTAAAAGATATAAATCGTAGTATTATATTATAAATTCTTTTAAATATATTCGGCAAATATACTGTTTGCCGAACAAAGCAAAAACAATTTTTACTTACCAATTTGATAAATTCAAACATTTCCAGTATAGCCGAATCTAAAAGATTGTATCTGCCATTGTTTCTTACAAATGCATCAAATACAGGTGTAAACAAGTTGCCCTTAATTATATACCTATTATAAAACTCATCCTTTAATGCTATAATCTTTCTCATAAACCTTAAAGCACATAGTACTAGAAATGTGTGTGTTGATTTCATTAAAACCAATATTCTTCTAAGTAAATCTTTATTCAATATGCAGTTTTTAATGTGATACGTATGGTGCTCCACACAGAATGATAATAATTCCAAGATCAATCCCAAAAGTTGTACTGTTCTGTAATCCTCTCTCGCAGGTCGTTCTCCAATTGTGTTTGCTAGAAGAGGGGCTATTAGAGTACCGATACTATTCTTGTAAAAGTAATTTAAGAAATCAGTCTTTTCTGATTTGTTAACAGAAGCCAACATGTTTTCTGGATCCAAAAGTAAACGTAGTACACCAGCCAACTGCACCGCTCCACCCAACTCAGAATCACTATCCCCAACAAGTTGAGCAACTATTACATTCACTAACATTTGGTCCTGTTCCGTGTTGTTTATCTGTTGTAATGTATAATCTCGTACAACACTTGGAGAGTATTCCACGATATAAGTCAAAATATCTATACTGGCTGTTTTCGTCTGTGCATCGTTCATTGCCAAAGTAATTTCTAGAGCAGGGAGTATACCAAGTGCTGTTAATGTTTTATAAAACGCTTCTTTTCCTTGTGGTTGAAGATTTTGCGAAAAGTTGCAAAATTCTTTTAGAAAAAGGACTAAATCGCGTCTTTTGCTATCTAAAGTCGCTTCGTCCGTTAACTGACGAAAAAGTTCGGTAAGAAATTTCTCATCATCCTGTATCAAAGTCACTATTTCAACTTTATTGAAGAATATAAAACTACTCAATGTACTCAGCATGTTGTCCTCGAATACACTCGGGGTTGGCAGCACTACGTCTTGAATGTATTGAACTCTGTATGTTTGATGGATTTTAGCTAATAGTTCGGTATTTGTAATAGGAATTGCTTGTTTAAATCTGGCTAATTGTCGAAGATACTCTCGATGCCTCTTTGGCTGAGATAACGTTGGCTCGTATTCCAGGCAGCCGACAACATCGAAAATTGTATCATCGCTGAACATAACTTCAAACAATGCATTTTTATTGAGTAAGAAAATATTTTTGAATATATCATAAAGATGATGTAAACCCTCAATATTTTCTAAATCCTCACATGTACGAAAAAGACTTAGCAATTTCTTAATGTAACCTTCGGATTCTAGTGCCACTGCTAATTTCTCTTTTCTCATTGGGGACGTTAAACAATTTTCTATGAGCTCGTTAATATCTTCCAATCGACTAAGTTCACAGGGAGGTAATTCGATAGGCGGTGCTGCATCTGACATATCATCAAACCGCTCATCTTCAGATTCTTCCACAATATCTTGTGTAATTTCTACAGATGGATCTTTGCCTTGAACCTGACAAATTTTCTCCCATATTTCGTCACAGCCAGCCTTTTCTTGAAAACTTAGGGCTAAATCGAAATTATCTCCTTCAGACCATACTATCAAAGTATCCTAAAATCATAAATATATTTACTTGTACATATCTATATATACGTGTCATGCATAAATTATAATTTATTTTATACATTAATATGTATAATATAAAAAATATTGATTTTTTAATGATACAAAAACACATTTTATAATTATATTATAAAATACGCAACAATAAAAAAATTTTATATAAAAAATTTTATGAGTAAATTATATACACTCATCTATTCTAGTTTTCACAAATTAGAGAGATTAGGAAATTTTATACAAGGTCACCAAAAATAGTAACATGACGTTTAACCATCAATATTGATTATGCTTGAAAAGTCATAGATCTTGTAAGAGAGTCACAAGAAAAGCAAATTCATAAAATTTTTGAATACCTGTTGTTTCTGATATGCTGTATCAGGTTGTATTTTACTCTCGAGCAGAAGAGATCCATCGCTTTCCGCTCTTACCAAGAGGGAAATCCCCTTTAATCTCTCTACGTAGGAAGAGGAAACATGACCTGTACCACGATCATCCCATTGCCTATCTGCATTAAGAGCATATAGTTTTACTCTTCTACGTGTATCCGTCATATTGTAAAACTAATTAGTACACTGTCTGTATCACCAATTCTTCCGCATGCCTTTATAAATTCAATCTTTGGCTTTCTCGGCTATCTCTACGAGATAATTTTCAGATACCTGTTGGAGCAACGTATGGACAGAAACCTAGGTATGTTAGACTTCCGCATGCCCTTCAAGATTTATTGGTATTGCATCATATGTATAATAAACAAGATTCGATAATGCGTCAGTGTCTCTGTTGAAAGACACTGCATAAAAAGCCACGTTCAGCGTCCACGACTCTCAGATGGAACCTCGTGCGATGGATAATGTACACAAGCTACACACTAGTCGGTTCCCAATTGGATCAGCCGACGATCATATGCATGCTCCGTGAAACGGTGAACTTGATGAATAGCACGAGTAATGGATGCTTGTCATGGATGAACGTGGAGAGTGGCGTTTCTCCCGGGGCCTTCTTTTCTCGCGGCAAGCACGAGTCGCGTCAACGCGACGTTTGCCGTACAAACCGTAGGCGCGATCGGGTCTCCCCCTCGGAGAAGAGCTCGATCCAGGAGGCAGATCGCGCGCGGGAAAAGATCGCGTGTCCGCGACACTCTCACGTGTCGCAGCGGTCGCGATGTATCGGGATATACGCGACAGTTTAGACTCGTCGTCCCGACCGGCACGACGACAAGACTCCAGCTTGGATACCGATACTTTTGGTTAGTGAACGTTGCGCGTGTGGATCTTTCCACTTCGCTGTGTATAATTCCTCTTCCCGCGACGACAGCGGTGGTGGCGGCGACAGCAGCGGCGGCGGCAGCGGTAGCGGCGGTGGAGGCAGCGACGGCGGCAGCGGCAACGACGAACCCGTGGTATTATCCGATAGCCACTCCTGCGATACGGATGTTCACAGGAACACGATCAACTCATGCGAATACCCGTGACAGTCGCCGTCGGCTCGCATCGCCGCACGCACCCTTTTCCCCTGAGCTGCACACTCTAAAATTGACATAGACACCGAACAGCCACAACACTACATTCCGCCATGATAGATCATAACAACGCGCCACGGGGTTCACCGCGTGATACGCAAGGACGCGTGGCGCGAGATTTGAACGGTGCCGACAGACTTTGAACAACTCTTTAAATCTCTCTTCTCTCGCTAATCTTGTGAACCCGCGGTCTCTTTTTGTTCCTAATTTTTTTTTTATATAATTAATCCTCAAGTTTCTGTCGCGATTTTTGTCTCGACTTTTGAATTTCAATGACCAGAGAAAACTCGACGAGTTTTTACGCCGTGTCTAAATCGTGTACGACGACGGCAGCGATGACCTCGAGAATCACGCAGTCGGTAAAGCGACCAAGTGCCGGCGAACGTACGAGTTTCGTTTGCCGACTTCTTCTGCGACTTTGCAATCTTTTCATCGCGATGAATCGAGACTTTTTTTTTCAGATGCGCTTCGCTCGCGCGCAACGATCGCCTCGCATGTCGCCGCGATGCGATGATTTCATCTCTTCGCGAATGCATTTTCTCCAGAATCCGACGGGTTCTTCGATTTCTGACGTCACGGTCAAAGATGGCCGGGCGACTTCTCGACACTTCTCGAAGTAGTCGAAGTGATATGAGACTCGGAAATTATTAATGTCGAGTAATAATTATGTGTTTGCGCGCGTGCGCGCGCGCGCCTTATGATATCTGAAAAATAATGTAATATGTACGTTTATATTTATTTAATATCCATAATAATCGTCCAGAGCGAACCTGAAGGGTTTTTTTCTTGAAATATCAAATTATGATAATTTTCTTTACTGAAAACGAGACGATAATTGAACCTTCACGTTGTAGTAGTATTCGATTCGATAACGGCTCGAAAAGTGGACCGATCTCGCTGATGACATTCGTTACGTCATCGCGATATCTTAAATTTACAACTTGGTAGTTCGGTATATCAGCAACCGTACGGATATCATATTTTTCTTCTTTTCTCGCTCCTCTGTAGAAGCAGCGATAACTTTGTTGAAAAAAAGATACTGTGCATACGTAATGCAGGCGACATCTCGGCAGGAGAATCGCAGAGATACGGTTGTTATATTCGATAGAACAATTAAAAAAGCAATTAAGACACCCTGTATGAAAATTAATTTATAAAATCGCAACGAATTTACGAATGTTATGATACATTATCAGGCATTATTAATGTTTATCAAGGAAGTTACTTCTACATTAACGTTGTTGCATGCTCCGCTTTGCGAAACCGAGTGTGCGCATTTTCGAGATGTTAAAATGAGGTTATAAATATCTTTCGATTGATCAATAAAACTTGGCGGATGCATTAATGTCAGTTAGTTTTCTTCTATATCAAGTGGAGTATCATTGCTTCAAATTGTTTTAACCGCGTATTTATTATTAGATCGGTAGCTCTTGTCACAAACATGTTAAAACATCACATTGACATTAGCAAGAATGTCACATCGCGATTGACCAGTGTCCATTGTTAAATAACATATGTAAAATATCTATTAAAAATTAACAATACATTTTTCTCTTAAGGATAAATTATTTTTTCTTACAATACCTGTTCATTGCTATTAATTATAAAAAAATAAACACGACATATAATCTAAGATTGTATAAAATTGAAATAGCTCGTATAGATTAAGCAGATTATAAATAATTGTATTCGAAGAAAAACTTTATATAGAAATTTCATTTCTTAAAATATATTAAGGTTATTTAAAAAATTTTTAGAAGTTTAATTGTTTATATATCACAACTATAGTCTCTCTTTTCTGAATAATTATCTGGAATCGAAGTCAGTTTTTAATTCAAGCAGTTGGTATTCAAAATTGGATAAAAATATCCAGTCCATACTAATAGTATTAGTAATAATGTTGATGTAATAATAGAAGAGAAATATAAAATAATTTACTCACAGATTGAGCTAAAGTTTATGTCCCTGCATTTCTTTTTTATACATATTCTTTCTGTATTTTTAGTTGATTCTTAATCCTATAACAATTATCTCTAAACATATACTTTTGTGCATTATCCATACTGTTAAAAAAAGAAATATATCGACAAATAAATTATATACATTGGCTAATTATTAGAAATGATTGTACTGTTCGTCATGATAATCAATATCGGTATGTTGTTTTGGTTTTACGAAAGGATGAGACACACAAAAATATAGCATATTTACATGACAATATAATTATAAATGTACATAAGAAATTTTCATATATTAAAGCTTAGGGATAAAAATACTCAAATACATGTTTATGCAAAGAACATGAAATTAATTTTAAGGTTTCACGTAGTTTCATAAGAAATACTCTCGTACAATTGTAAAGGTTATATAGATAGCAAGAAAATCTGTAATTATTTACAGGTAAACACATTTATAAATCTGAAAATTACAATCAAGTATAAGTCAATGGAATTAATTTCTTACATTTTATATGCACTCTGGTAATAATTTACAAAAAGAAAGACAAAAAATTGTCATTCCTATAAAATCATTCTTCCATGCGATTACGATTGTTGGTAGTACAACAGTTTGCAATTTGAGTCTCAAGCTTTCAGTCTCGGTTATCACTAAATTCTGGATTTAATAATCGCTGGAGATTTCTTTACAAACAGCCTTATTGGTCCTTAAAACCAACTGCTCTTTAACTCCATACTATATCGAATGGCATGTTGTTTTATCTCGTATCAATCACAAAATCCAAACTTTAGCTTTTACAGTCCTCAATTATTGACCGTTTGCGTTAATTGAGGCCGATAATAAACCAAGTTAAAAACTATTATGTTACATAAGTTATCACACAATTTTATTTTTATTTATTCTGTTGGTGGAGGTGAAAATTTTTGTAACCTACGTTTTCGCAGCATTTCCTGTTCGCTTGAAGATTCAGTCCTAGATAAGTCTACTGTATCATTACATGCTGACGTGTCTTCCTTCGATATACTTGGCGTAGGAGTATTTTCCTTCGACGTACTCGGAGTAGGAGGGTTTTCTACTTTAACTTGAGAACTCTCTCTATCGCTATTAATTCCATCATTTGTGTTTGCTGTACCGCTTGGACCTGGCATCGTAGATGTATCCGAGGTACTGTCGATATTGCTTGTAGTATTATTCACAGGAATGCTGCAATTTGAAGTCGTAGGTATTTTATAACAAATAATAGAATAATATAGATCAGAGCTGTCTAAGATTGATGTTGTTTGGCTTGAAATCGAAATGTGTCGGTATTCACACCTATTACCTTTCCTATTCCTTACTTCATTGTTGTTTTGTTGTAGTGTGCGAAGCTCAGTCTCAGGAACGACACTAGTTTGAAATCATTAAAAATTTTTTAACCTGTGTCTTTCACTATGTTTAAAAGTATTCTGTTATTCATATTTTTATAGTTAAATGTATTATAAATAACAGTATCTTATAACATTAGTAACAGAATACTTTTAAACATAGTGAAAGGCACAGGTCAAAAACTTTTAACGATTTTGAACTAGTGTCCATGAGACAGAGTATCGCGCGCTACGACAAAATAACAATGAAGGGAGGAATAGGAACAGTAATGGGCATGAATACCGACACATTTCAACTTCAAGCTAAAAACCACCGATCTTGGACATCTCTGATATAGATATATATAAATATTATTTTTATAGAATATTATACTCACTTAGCGGTAGCAGCTGCTGTTTGATATTGATTCATCATTGCATTGGCTGCGTCTAATAAAAGTTGAATCCTTTGCAGCGTTTGTATCCTGGCTTCAACAGCTTGCCGCAGATTACCTTCCATCGCTCTGAGCTCTTCTTCGCTCAATTCGATTAAATTCGGTGGCGGTACAGGAATAGGTGGCAATGGTACTATTGTAGGAAATAGCGGTGGGAAAAGTGGAATATTTCCGGTAGGTGGTATTGGATTTTGAGGCGGAGTACTTCCAGCATTATTTTGAGGTTGCTGCTGTTGCTGCTGAGGCTGCTGTTGTTGCGGTTGTTGTTGTTGCTGCTGTTGTTGTGGCGGCATACCTGGAGCTGGTAATCCAGCCCAAAATACCGGAAAATGAAAGGGTGGTCCTATGTTAAAAAATAAAAAGAAATAGATTAAATATGGAGATAACATATTTAGTACATAAGACTCAAGTATAAGAAATAACACAAAGTCATACCTATAGGATTGACACCAGGTGCTTGTGGAGGTTGTGGAGGCACCTGTGGTCCAGGTTGCGGAGGATTTTGTTGTCTAGGTCTCGCGTTGTTTGGCGTAGGCCTCAAAATGTTCAACCGACACGTCGGACACGTTTGCTGACGTTGAAACCAAGAACGTAAGCATGCAGTATGGAAGATGTGATTACACGGCAATTTTTTACTAGCTGTGACCATTTCCTCTCTGCAAGCATAATGTATCAGGTTACATTACGAGTGTTACAAGAAATGACACAATTTTATTTACTGCAATACTTACCGACATATAATGCAAACATTATCAGCAGCAGCTAATTCTTCAGTTGTTGCATCTGGATAAAGAGTATTCATATTCCTAATGGCTCTTCGAGACATTACAATATCGTGAAGGGCTTTCTTGAAGTCTCGCATTGTATAATACATAGGACGCAATGCAAATAAGGGTAATGTAAATAACTTTATCATTAAAGTCACAAAGGCAAAATAGAGGAAAACCTATAAGGAAACATTGGTTTGTTAAATAAAATACAAGCCATATACAGAATTATAAATTAACATAAATATAAGGTTTTTATAATAATTACCTTCAATATGCCAATAATCAATTCTGTATACAATAGGAACACTGGCTTGTTGTCCCAGGGAGTTTCGCTTTGCAGATCAATAGTGTGCAAGACATATTTTACGGTAATATTAAAAAGAACAGTTAGCAAAATTGCGTATTCAAAGCCAAACACAAGTTGTACAGAGGGACCTTTAGTGGCTGTTGTATCGTAGGCATAATTGATCATCATTATATTGATGACAAACAAAAGATTTAGTAAAGTGGCGACTCTGAGATGGAACAACCATGTTATTACCGGACTTCTTTCCATCTGAAAGATAAAAGATAATTCATTAACTGTATCACAAATGTAATTACTATATAGAATGTTTAATTACATAGATATAATTACAAAACTGTAAATAATGTCAACATTTAATAAAAATGAATGGTATGCCTGATACATCACAGAGATCCTCGCATTTTAACTGGTGATGACAAAAAAACTCACGTAATCAACACGATCCTCTGCAAGCCAGTGAAATGATTTTAGGAACAAAAGGAGAGTAAATAACGCTATAAACTTAGGACTGAAGTCATCCCTGAACACTGTAAACGCCAGGCATGTCTCTGTCACGGCGTACCAAACTTTTTCCACTAGGTGCTGCAAACAAGGCGATGTTACGAGAAAGACAACAACGTGAGGAGGGCAACAACATAAAAGAACGAGACACTCACCTCGAGCTCGGCAGCGCGTAAAGTACCGAAAAAGATCTTTCGCAGGAAGGCGTTAATCATGAACGCAAGAATGAATCCTTGCGTATAGATCACCTGAGTACAAAGCAATACATATGTGATAGTAGGGCGCACATTCGTTACGCGGTTTATCGTGAATGTGGAAAAAAAGGCTTTAAGGAAAGCTCAACTCACGGTCATGCTCGGATTAGATTTGGTTATGTGAACGACGGTCGGATAGAATTGTTTTCTTTGATAATACGCATTGCCAATAACGACGCAAGTTAGCGCGGTGCTTATCAGCATGATTCCAGCCTCCCTCATTTTCGTGCCGGGCGCTTTCTCGTGCAGCCCGAACACCTTCCGCGTATCCTGAACGAAGAAATCGCTGACACTCGCGTATTGCACGGAGAATTTAATCGGATCGCACGTTTCCGACGATCCTTGTACCACCCCGACAACTGTATGTACAACAAACGTGAACAAACGTATGCGCGCACACAAACAACGCCACGCTGAGAGCTGGTATTAATGTGGCGCTGATATCGTGATAGCGGTAATCTTCGAATCATTTAATCGCGTACATAAATTTTTCAGAGGCTGCACTCCGGCCTCTCTTTTACCCCGTTTTCTTTTTAACAACATTTAACGAGACAAATCTCGTTGTCAATTGCAATCGTCGCGTTGACAGTTATGTAAGACGTGAAATGTCAACCATTGTGTTGTGACAGCATGAAAAGGACAAGCGGTGCCACGTGATTGGTCACGTCGAGTATCGTGATCGTGGAACCACGTGGATCGCGATGATTTTCGCTTTCACAGATAAAAATACTGACAGGTGACGTCATAAGTATTTAAAAGAAAGCGGGTGCGATGTGGTTGTTCTGAGAGAAAATTACGAGCGTACACAAACATTATACTGACATATAATTAGTCTCCTTGTAATAGATATATTCACAAGTCAAATGTTAATTATAATGATTTGTATTGATTTGTATTACATGTTAATTAACGAGCAACAATATGAATATTGCATGTAAACCTGAATTTGTCATCGAATGACAATAAATGAGGATTATATTTAAATGAGAGCACAGATATATGTAATGACTAGCCTTAAAGATATTTCAAATAATATTTCATGTTTCAGCCTTAAAAAAAAAGAAGGTAAATTTTGTACTAAACTATAGAGATACAAGAATGTTTTTAAATCACTTTCTTTTTTAAAAAAAAAAATGTGATTTTAAACCCTTACGCATAGACTATCAGTTTTGCCTGCAACCTGCTATTTCTATTTGTAGTAACTTTCTTATATATATTCTGCTAATATAAGTATTAAATATATTAAAAACACCACAAAAGATATTGTTTATATATATATAAAAACTGTATAAAAATTATAGTTTCTTAAAATAACGTATATATATGTATATGTAAAACTAATTCAACATATAGTACTTATGGTTAGACTTTCTGTTACGTATACATACTGAGAGCTCGTGATTTCAAGATACTTTTAGGACTTTGACGTTTTGGGGTTCCTAGGTGTGCCGTTGCTTTCAATGGTGTTCTACGTGTGTCAACTGGAGGTCTACGCACTAATTTGGAACTTTTCGGCGTTTTTATTGTTAAAGGTCGCTTAATATGCGGGGTTTTGCTAACATCTGATTTGTAAGGAGACATATTTGGATTTTCTAGCGTTGTACTGACAGGCATCTTCGTCAATGGCAATCCTTTTGCAGCGATGTTTTCTTTCTGAATTCTTGCGTCGTGCGCGATATTGATCCCTTTATCTTTGGTGAAAGTTTGATGTATAATTGGTTCCTTATTCAAACATTTCTGATCTTGCAGTTCAAATTTTCGCACATAATGTTCGTTCAATCCATTTTGAAACGATTTTAATGACGCATCTATTATTTGCGTTTTAATGTATGGCGACGCATTTGGAGATGACGCTGCGTGACGACTTTTATTTTTCGAATCCTTATTGGATTTTTTTCGAGAGACTTGTGTCCTGTTGCACGTTTGCTTGAAACATTCAGCATTCATTTCCTTAGCTATATTGGGAGAATGTTTATTTACATTGTCGAGACAATGTTTTCTGTTTGATACATTACTCGATTTAAATTCGGATATCCTCGTTGTGCCCTCATCAAATAATCTCGCTTTGGCCAGCACCATACCAGCATTTTGCGTTCGAAGTTTAGCGACGGATGCTCTGCCAGTCTGTGGAGCAGGTGTATTTCTTCGGGACACTGATTTAAAATATTTATCTGCATCTTTCCAAGATATTTTATTCGAGCTCTCGAAAACAGTCTTATCACTTTGTAAACAATCATTGTTTAAGGCTATATTCTGATGACTATTCGCCTTTTTTAATTCATCGATCTTTTTATCGAAATAGGATGAGTTATCTACAAAATCTTTTCCATGAAAAGATGACGCTCTACGCACAGATGTGGTCGTATGATTGTTATTCAAATGCAGATCTTTAAATCCAGAAAGATCCAAGTCACTATTATTTGAAATTTTGCGTTCGCTTGAACGAGAAATCAATGTGTTAATTTGATTGTGTAAACAGGCTATTTCGTCTCTCATATTATTAGAAATATTTTCATTACATTTTTCGGCAGAATGAGAGTGCTCCTTCAAGTATTTATTAGAATAAATCGATTGTTTTTCGATGGGACAAACATTTGCTTGTCTTTCGAGTTGCATGTGATTTTGTAAGTTGAATTCTGGAGATATATGCCATGATGCAGTTCTTCTAATACGTTTGCTATAAATATTAAAATAATAAGAACGAGTTTTATATTAGTTTTACAACTATTTTTATATACTACTTGAACATTTTATTCTACACATAGAAGATTCTATATTTTTAAAAGGATATTTATGTATTTTTTAAAATAAAATTTTAAAATGTATAATAATTGTATATATTAAAAAAAAAACATTGTAGTTTAAGTGTAATTCAATTACCTTGCAGCCTTTTCTTGTGACCGTCTTCTTAATGATCCAATTTTTCTTGCGCTAGGCGATCTTATTATTTTATGTTCTCCCGATCTTCTAATTTTTAGTTCTTTACTCAGTCTTTTTGCTAGATAGTCGCTTGTTAGAGTATTCTCGATACTAGCCTCTTCTAATGTTTTTTCATACGCTGTCTGTATGTTATTTAGCGAATGTGTAGTGATATCATCTTTCTCGTTATATATACATCCAAACTCTTGAGAAATACGTGATTCAATCGCAGAAACTCGATTCTTTATATCTTCATATTCACTTTTACGAATTCTGACATAATCTTCTTCACAGTGATCACTTGATGAAGATATTATGTCACCACTAGGAAAAAATGTGAATTCTTCTGAATCAGTCTTTTCCTCAGGTGTCAACAAGCATATATTATCACTTTCATCTGTAGCATCCAATTTTCTTGAACTTGTGCTTACATTCATATGCCATTGCTCACCATTTTTACGACTTTTCTTTATAAGCAAGTCCTGCTCGCCACCATCGTCTGATAAATCCACAGTGGCATTAATGAATACATCGTTACATTCTTGACGAAAATCATTATTTGAGGGTTCATCATATTTCTTTGATCTCGTATCTGATATTCTGTTGTCGTACTCACATATCTTATGTGTATCAAAAGAGTTGCTTACTGAACTCCAACGTCTTTCATTACATGTTTTGTAATTGCCCATATATGAATCTGATAAGTTATCATCAACGTTCTTCTGAAAGTATTTTAAATAAAATTATTACAATTAAAATAAACTATACACAATATGATTTAAATGGATTCTATATATGAAAACAGCTATACTTACTTGTTTATTCTTAGGTACAAATTTGTCTAAACTTAATCTTAATTTTTTTGATTTGTCTAATTTTTCGGCCGTTCTCCTAGAACATATATTATATATTTGGCATCAATATTATTTTAAATTAAATATTAAATTATATATATATATATACATATAACAGAAAAAAAATAGGACAATAACAAAAGAATAAGTAATTTCATTACTTTTTCTTTATACTCGGAGGATATTCTCTCTCAATTACTTTTCGTTTCTTGGTAAATTTGTTAGGAGCTACATTTAATTGCGTTGGATGTACGAGAGACTGAGGTTGATTAATATTAGGTGTATCATCTGCGCCCTTTCCAACCATCTTCTTTAAGCCATTAAACATTCCTGTATAAAACATTACATCCCTATGTTCAAGATATGTTTTATATATATATATACATACACAGATATATAAGAAAAACTAAAATTTTAAATAAGATTTTAATCATCTAATGTTATGTGCAACACAAAATTACATTTAATAAATCTAACAGGTGTTGTTCTAATCTAATTAATTTTTTCATTAATATTATAAATCTTACTAACATTTATATATAAATATATTTTTTGTATTTACATATTAATCAGTAAATATATTTTCAGATATATTTAGATAAAACTGAGAGTATTTCGATATGACTTACGTGTAAGACTTCCACTACGATGCTTCTTCTTTTTATGCTTTCTATGTAACTCAAATGAATCCAGTCCATTGTCTGTGCTACCACTTGTTTCAGTAGAAATACTCTGAGCAATATGAGGTGGTAGGATACCAATATCTTCTGCATTTTCAATCAGAATCTATAACAATATTAATTTAAGTAACAATTACCTATTTGCTTATATAATTTATCGATATTCTCTAAAATTTATATTACCTTGACAATAGTTAAATGCATTTGCAATCTATTTTGTACGGCCGACATGGATGTCTCTTGCAATGGCATGATATTTGGTCCAATGACTTTCGCCAAGTTGTCAATACTCATCTTGTTCTGTTTCTCGTACATGGAAACCTTTTTTAAGAATTCCATGAAGAATGCTAAGGTATTTAAGTGATACGGTGGTAGCAACGTACATGCCAACAATAATGCCTGTACACGATGGCTCTTCAGCAACGCGCAATGCACGAACAAATCATGATATGCATACGGGATTAGTGGCTCTGGCAAGTCTCGAAAGAAAGATTTTAGGCAATTGGCAATATCGATCGCGTTATTTTTGTCACCTAAACCACCGCTGTTATTCAGCCGGGATATCAATTCCCTCTGTCGCGCCTGAGAGCCAGCCTTTCTGAACAGACCCTCTTGAGCGACATGCTCTTCCAGGAACGTAGAGGCTTGAATGACAAACACGGGTACGTGGACTATAGCACCTGATGACAAGTTAACAATGTCCAAGGCTTGATAAAACAAAGGGGTCTTGAAAACCTTTTTGGAGATATCCTTACACGCCTCGGGCCTTTCGCTCTTAAGCATGCTCTTCTTGAAGCGATACTTAACTCCGAGGTTTCTAAGATCGCTGGCGACAGCATGATACACCTTCTCCTTGTGCAACACATCGTAGATCAACATCTTCGATATTCCAGTGCGTTATAGACCATATAAGTTCTGTGATGATTGATTCTTGAACAAAGAATTTATTATTAATTACACGCCGTTCAAGTATCGTTTACTCTCGTATTCCTCGTCACCCGTTTTCATATTGAATTTGATTGAATTGACATCCCTCCAATGTCGCCAACGTCACAGTCGTAAACGCCCCGTTGCATAAAGCTGGTTCTACATTAGTGCATCGCAAGCGTTGCGGTCCAATCAACGACAAGCTAGCTCGACTCTGATTGGACCGCAACATTTGCGACGCTGCGATACGACTAAGGACGAGTTCGCACCTTGACGAAAAAGCAAAAAACGAAAAAGCAGCAGCTAATTAGAACTCGCGCTGGTAGTCGACAATTACGGCTTTTTGTACTACTTACTACCAGCGCGAGTTGTGATTAGCTACTGCTTTTCCGCTTTCTGCTTTTTCGTCAAGGTGTGAACGCGCCCTAAGAAATAAAGATAGCATGGCTGCGTTCAGCAGACTCAGATTGCGGTCCACTTGACGCTACAAACGCTTCGAAGCATTCTTCTTTGATTAGTCAATTCGTAAAATTCTTTGTTCTGATTGGTCACTCAACGCTTCGAAGCGTTTGTAGCGTCAAGTGGACCTCAGCCTCAACGGTTGAGCGCTCGCTATTACTGATGTATTCTTCCAGATCTTAGTTCGGATCTACAATAGGTGTTTTAAGACTTAATTGGTCAATTTCTTATGACCCGTCTACAATATGCGGAATAAGCTTGGTTTAAGAAGTAAGAGTAAGAAATTGACCAATCACAGTCGAATGTGAGAAGAATAATCGACTGTGATTGGTCAATTTCTTATTCTTATCCAATTACAGTCGAACCCAAAGGGAATAATCGACTGTGATTCGCCCATTTCTTATGACTTAAGGCTTAAAACCCTATTGTAGATCCGGGGTTAAGGATGAAATGATGTACTAGTGTTTCACTACAGTAGTTTGATATTAAATAAGGATGATAATTTACTGTGTTACACTGTGTCCTTGCTGGAAATTACCTCCTAATTTGTCATATTATACAAACTCCAATTAAATTAATTCAATCAACAAAATTACAAAAAAATTTTAATTATCTATTTTTTTTTGTTCTTATAATCTCATCTTCCTGTCCAAGCCAGACTTAAGGCCATCACACGTAAAAAAATTTTAGTTGTAATCTTAAGGCCGTAAGCAAATCAGCCAATCACAGTCGAGCGTTTTGAAACGCGAGATTGTAATTTTGATTGTGATTGGTTGATTTGCTTGCGACCTTATGATTACGACTAAAATTTTTGTACGTGCGATGGCCTTTACATCCATTTTATTTCTAATCTTTTTTTCTATGACAAAAAAAAATGATAATTCTATCCATAAAATATTGCAGTTATTACTAGATAAATTAATCAGCAATTAATTTATCAAACCATTGATTAATTCAACCGACTAAACTTTTAAAATAAAATTTATAATCATACAATTCATCGTCATTAATCTAATCTTTTTCTTTATATACGTATATATGTGAATAACTAATAAAACGCTGATTAAGTTAATAAAGTCGGAATTTTGTTGAAGAATATTCTACCAAAATATAAGTATACCGACTATAAATTTCATCGATGAATCACGTTATGCCTCTATACATGTATAACGGCCTTTAATGCGCAAGTAGCGGATTCACCGTCAGTGAAATTCGTCGTCAGTGGGTGCCTGTCGCTTGTCAGTGCCGTTGAGTGCCGTGCGTGCTAATTAACGATGGTGCACGTGAGTGCACGTAATTTTTCGATTCGAGCTCGTTGGTTTCAAAGGAATGTGACCCTTCGCCGCTGACTTCAAGCTTCTCGTTCCGGTCTTCTCTCCGATATTAGTTGCATGTATTTTTAGACGCGACCGACCAGTCTCGTCTAGCAGCAGACTAGCGACTTGATTACGATTTTACGAGGCGAGGCACTCAGCGTCGCGAGACCATATCGTGATACGATGCGACGAGTTTATCACCGTTTGTTCCCGTTGAAGTGATTTGAGATCGCCTGTTATCGACGTGTTGTCGGATTGAAGGATCGAAACGGGCGGTCGAGGTGTCAAGGGTCGTTTTCCATGCCGACCCATTCCAAGTCCTTGATAATCGATTGGAAAGCATGCGTGTGCACGGATTCGTGAGCCTCGCTCGTCGAAGGAGTCGGTATGTGAACGGCTGTCCTCGACGATCGGAGGCGATCTGGATGCGCCGGCAAGGTTAGGAGGAGGCTGCCATGAAGAGTCCTGCGACGTCCCAACGGCTGAACGGGACCAATGCGCATCCCGTCCCGTCGCCGAGCCTACAGACATCAGGAAGCGCAAAGTCCCGTCACAACAATGCTGTCAATAGCTTCCAGATGGTGAAGGTCACTGGACGTGAGTCTGGCTGCTATATCGCCAGCAACATCGCGCCGAAGGTTGGTAAGCAGCAATTGGTGTCCTTGAACGGGGACACGGTACGCTGTGACAGCGTCAACGTCGACGAGGCACTGGCATGCGACGTGGCGCCTATACCAGCGGCTAAGACCAAGGCCCTGTGTGTACACATCAGAGAGAACAAATGGTACGATGCCGGTAACGTCGTCTCTGTCGGAGTAGCGGGAACCAGCCTGAACCATGCTCTGGAAAGCATGTCCTTGGCTTATAATCCTTCCACGAAGCAGCTGTATTCTGTGGAGGAGATCAGAACGCCCAGCAATACGCAAATCGACTGTATTTCTCAATATCTAGAATCTCCATGTAACGGTAAGGAACAAACGTCAAGTGTGAAACTTGACACGGACAAATATACGAAGCTCGAGAATGTCAGTGCAAACAGTAGTCCAAGAAATAGTTTGCCACGTTCATGTAGCAGCACAGTGTCTTCCCTTAGCGAGATATCACCTTCTGGTAGCTTTCTAGGATCCGATGAACAACACGTCGTAGAAAAAAGTGATAAGATACCCAAACGTTGGGGACTGAACACGCTTTTTACAAAGAATGTGTTTTCGTGGAAGAATAGAGGTTCTCAGCATTCAACACCTACCGGTAGCCCATCAAGAAATATTGACAAGGTAGGCGGTAGTACAGCTTTAATTCAACAGCCAAGACCAGCAAATTTACCAGCTAAAAATGCACTGGAAGAAGAACGTCATCGTAAGCAATACAATGCTATTTTAGAAGCAGCAAGGAAGAGAGAATTGCGCGAAGAAAAAGAGCGTAAGCAACAACGGGAATATCAGCTAAAAGAAGAGAAGAGATTAGCCGAGGATTCCAACACGTGGAATGTACATGTTTTACCTAAATTTGAAAGCGTTAAGAATACGAAAAAAGTAAGGGACCTGTGGTGGCGTGGTTTGCCACCGAGTATTCGTGGTAGGGTATGGAAATTAGCAATTTCGAATAATTTGAATGTAACGCCGCACCTCTATAATCTTTGCTTAGACAGGGCAATGTCGAGTCCTAACAATGAGTCATTAGCCGCAATCAGATTAGATGTATCTCGTACCTTTCCTACCTTATGTGTCTTTCAAGAAGGTGGACCATTATTCGATAGCCTTCAGGGTATTTTGGCAGCATATGCCATATATAGACCGGATGTAGGCTACGTGCAAGGTATGAGTTTTGTGGGTGCTGTTTTATCATTAAACATGGAACCACCAGACGCCTTTGCTTGCTTCGCGAATCTGCTAAATTATTCTTGTCACAGAGCCGCCTTTACATTGGACCAAAACAGAATGAATACTTACTATAAAGTATATTCCAGTGCTCTTGCGCATAAGCTGCCAAAAGTCTTTTCCCATTTTACCGTAGCTGGATTAAGCCCGGACTTGTATTTATTAGATTGGTTGTATACTATATATGCTAAAGCAATGCCTCTTGATGTCGCATGTAGAATCTGGGATATCTTTCTCAGAGATGGAGACGAGTTCCTCTTTAGAACAGCGCTGGGAGTGTTGCACTTATACCAAGAAGAATTATTAAAAATGGATTTTGTACACGGCGCACAATTTCTTACTAGATTACCGGAGAATCTACAAGCAGAATCCTTATTCAACAGTATTAGTCAAATGTCTACTACTGTTGGAACGACAACGTTCCAGCAAATGTTGGTTCAATATTCTTCGTAATTTAATATATCAAAAGGTATAGCAAAATTGAAGTTTTCTTATTGTGATAACAAAATCTGAGTCTTTGTGCAAAAAATTTTATACATTATTTAATTAATATTATTTAAAATTAAAAATCTAATGACTTATCTGAAATTTTCGTATTAGATATCATAATTCGTGTTTGAAAATATATATAATTTATTACCAAATGTTTCAGAGATGCTATATATTAATATATATCGTTTCTGATCTTTTAGAAATAATATTCGAATATTTTATAATTGACACAGAAAATAATGTAGAGATCAATTGCACAATAGATCAGAGAGATGATTTTCAGAAATTTGTGACAAAAATACATTATTGTTATAAATTTTTGGAAATTACTCGTATGGTATATATAAATGAATAAATTTGTTATGGAAATATTTTCCATGTAAATAATTGACTGTATTATTCAGTTGTAGATATGTTTTTTACAACGAATGAAATTGGAAAAGATGATCTGCAATATAAAACGTTAATGCTCCATTAATACATCTATACTCGTTTTACATTTTTTGTTTAATATATTTTGAAACGTGATTTTAGATCTTGATAATATCTTGAAAATATTTTTTAAAAAACAAAACAGAATATTATTAAATTAAACTACAATTTTTTAATTTGAATATATATATATTGACTTATTTTAATTTTCGTTAAGTTGTATTATAAATATTTCTCATAAAATTTCTCATAAAATTTGTGATATTTAAACATCCGAAATATCGATCTTGCTTCACATACCAATATGTATATTACTATATGCAATATTGCATTTCAGCATTGAGATATACTGATTCTTTGTGTATCCTCTCAATTTTTACATTCTCTTCACATCTGAAGGGAGATATACTCAAATACAACAATATTATTCAACAACACAGGTATTAATCTCATAAATATACATCACGAATATAGAATTAGTCGGAATTAAAATAAAGAGTCTTGCTGCA